AGAGAGAGAGAGAGAGTACACCAGTAATTAATGGAATAAAGGCTAAAAAGATGGAGAAATTTCCTTGGGTTGTTGTTGTTGCAGAAGAAACAAAAAGGAAGGAAATATTTGCAAGGAAAAGGAGATGCAAGTGAAAGATCATCATTAATCTTACTTTAGATGCCCATATTTATAGGGTTTCCTCTAACCTGCAAGTGAGATTTGACATGCGCCAAGGTAAGATCTTTGACATCCATGAGCTCTAGAACAGACTTGGGCGTAGCCCCTGAACTCCAACAAGTCAGAACAGAAAAGGTAAGATCGATCTCGCCATCCATCTGAATAATCTCTACAGCTGAAAGGTGTGAATGAGGGGAAGTGAGCATACTCTCATGGCCTCCCAACAGCTCTACGGCATGGACGAAGCGGGCATGGAGTGTGGTAGTCCACCGCATCCTCGGCGCTCTCGTCGTCCTTCTGGCGGCGAACCTCGTCGGCAAATACCTTGGTCTCGGCAAGTCTTGGCTGGGCTGCAGCTGGTGAGGGGAGAGTAGAGGAAAGGAAGGTGGGTGTTGGTAGATTGGGATGCCTCGTATGGGCTTCAGCGAGATGTGATCTTGGTGGTACCCCTCGGGAAGTAGGGGGAGGTGGTGGCGGTGTTGGGGGTGGTGTAAGATGTCATCGCTTGTGGTCGTGGAGTCCGTGACACCCGGGTTCACCGACGAGAGCTTGAAGGCGGCGGCAGAGCTGGCTGCGGATGCGGTGACGTTGTTGTTGGTTGTGGTGGTGGAGTCCAAGGTTCTCCTCCAGAACCCTAATTCCATCTTCTCATCTGGCTTTCTCCAGCCTGATGGTGTGGTGTTTGGGGGGCTGATCTGAAGTGATAAGTCTAGATGTGCTGAAAACAGCTCCATTTGATCATCCAGATTTCTTCTTCTCCTCCTCCTCCTGCTCCTCTTTTTCAAGTTACTACAAATCTCTTTCCTGTCTGAGCTCTTCTCCTCTTCCTGATTCTTCTTCTTCTTCTTCTTCTCCTTAAGTTTCTTCCAGTCTCTCTCCCGTCGGAGCCCTACCTCTTTCCGTGATTAATGTTATGCGAGAGAGAGAGAGAGAGAGAGAGATGTCCTACAAGCTAAATCTGTGTGAAATGATGGGACTGTAGGGTATGTGTATATGTATATGTGGTAGTGACAGTGGATGTAGTGGCAACATGGTGTCTGTACAAGAAGTGCATATAATGTGAACATGGAGGGTAAACATTGTGTGGGGTGACACAGGTCGATTTCTCAGGCTGTTTTGGAATGCTGTGGAAGAAAATGACACTTGAAAAGCTGCATGAACATGAGAGAGAGAGAGAAAGAGAGGAAAAACTGGAAAAAGTTTTGATTCCCTGAAACCTGTTGGGTTAGGCAATCTCTGAGTTGAGAAGGAATATTTTGTACAAGGTTCTTATGGAAGTTGAAGAGTAGGCTTGGTGGCATCTGTACTGTTTCTCCCACTCAGTTGTGGGTTTGACCCTTTCAAGGCTACAGAATAATCTCATGGCTTTGCTTCACATCATTTCCTTGCTGCCATAAGCATTAATGGAGAGAACACAAAGTTAAAGGTTGTCATATCCCTCTCCCCACATAACAAAAGGCAATCCCTTTGATCTATTCTTCTTCTTCTTCTTCTTCTTCTTCTTCTTATCATTTCATAATATATGGGAGAAACAAATATGCAAACAAACAAAGAAAGAAAAAAAGGAACATTTTCTTTGATAGAGAATGATCTGTTAATTTGGGATAACGAAATGGTCCAACAAGCATTGGAACTATTCCAACAAGTATTGGACCAACTTGATGCAAAAAAAAATTCAGCAAAGAACAAGGAGACTCTGATAGTGAATTATTCTTTCAAATAAATTATCGACACATTAAAGACGATGTAAAAAAATTTAGAGAGAGAAAAAAAAAATAGCTTTCAAAATTATTCGACAACTTTGCAAGTCTCCTCGAAGCTTTCCAGCATCTGCTGCCTTTTTTTTTATGTACCCTCAGCTATCTTTTACGCCGGGTGACATTTATATCAAATTCCAGAGATTTAAACTGGTCCTTGGATGAATCTGGCAACCTAATCTAATCACTCTGTTTTGTAGGCTCTAACTTGGTCTCTCATCTGTGGTATGTTCTCATGCTAAAGAATTAATGCCAGATAGGTAGGTTTGATCTGTCTGAATGCTGCTGAGATGATGCTCATAGTACCGAAAGAAAGAAAGAAAGAAAGATATTCGAGTAAATTTCTCCTGTTCGAAACACAACTTACGGTCGATGAAGCTGAGAAATCAGTCAGGTATCTGAAGACAATATTGTAACCCAGATGTACTTTGCAGAATCCGGAATAGATCTGGGTAAACCTACATGAATTAACACCTTCAGCTCAGGAAAATGACACCCTAACCATTCCAACATGCACCGGTTGCTTTCTGTCATTAAGGTTCTTCGCTTCGAGGAAACTGCTGGAGGCCAAAAATGCCATGAGATGTTTGAGCACAACACATGATCTGTAGCTGCAGAATTGCCATCACATTGTGCCATCAGTGTGCTGTAGCACAATCTGAGGACACTTTTGGAGGTCCCAAGCTCCATGAGAAGGATGTGGTGAAACCTGCAGCTCATACCTAATGCGAGCACGGCCGGTCGGTCATCCATATTAGATGGTGCATCATATCGAAGAAATTTATGTTGTTCCCCATGCATGGGCACATCGAACATGTCGCATTTTGTGCGTCAACGCACGGAAGTCTTTGTTCTCGATGGTGGACTATTATGCAGTGAGCGAACACAGATTTTGGTACTTGTGTTTTGCTATCCGGAAGATCCAAGGTTTGAATTACACAAATTATATCTCTATATTTAGATAAACTACCTTCTTATGCATCGACCCACCCTTGGTTGTACTATTTATCGGGTCTCTCTTTTACCTCAAACACCATACCGACGACAGCAAGCTACGTTTAAACCTTTTATTCCACTCGGAAACAAGCTCTTTAGATTGGAAGGTAAGATAGCGTACCCCCTAGATTCCAATAATGCATGATGTATCCAAACTATGAGGTCAGATGGGGATCCACAAGGGAGACGAAGGACCCTGCAAGCAAATAGCTCAGCACATAAATCCTTCTTTCTCACAAAGCAGGCATACTTTTTATATGTTTCATAGAATCGATGGGCTTATAATTATCAATCTTGCTGCTACTCGAATAGTTGCCTCACTGATTCAACCGATGATATCTAATTCATGTGTGCAACGTATGAACAGTTGGATAGGAAGATTTGGAGGTGATGTCTTGTCCTTGTGACCATTGTGGTATGGTATGTGTGTTTGGGAGTGCGATCAATCAGCGTCAAATAGTTGTGGGGTGTGGGGGAGATGAGGATCATCGGATTGGATATGACATAAAAGCGTCAAATAATTAAGGGGGGTCGGTCAACAAGCGGAAGGTGGAAAACGAGGGTTTTCCTCAAAACTTAGCTATCCATGCCATGCCAATGCCATGCCATGCCAATGCTTCCTACTTGTGTACCTTATCGATGCCGATTCCTCCAACCTGTGAGTGTTAACATCCATCTCGTTACTAAAGCCTCGTCGATCGGTGGGTGGCTGTCACTCGATGGTAGGATATGGAAATGCCTTGTTGAGTTTGAGAAGAGTAGACGCAACATCAAATGTGTGCTCCTAAGCTTCTTTTTTGTTTTTGCTAGTGTCTGTCGTTGTTGTTGTTGTTGAGAAGGTGTGCGATTTCCATTTTGATACGATAATAAAAAGGAAGAGAAAGAAGAAGAATGGTGTGATTTTGATGAATTGATTTTGAAGAATGGTGTAATCTTTCTACGGAATTCTTATCTATTTATTATAGGGATTAGTTGACATTTTTTGGAAATTTAAATTTAATGTCACATATACTTACCATTTTAAAGAATGATTAAGGTTATTGTGTGACAAAATCTTGCATGTGAATTCAAGAAGTAGTTGCATCTCGGAAGAAGAAAAGAATTAAGGAAAGCAGCACCCCATTAATAATTGGGTGGCCCCATCGTAGCTGTGATGTGAAGTGGATAAGCATTGAATTAATGCGGTTGTCTCTCTTCTTTTACTTTTTCCTCGATGCCAAGTGGGAAATAAACCCATCCATCCATCCATGAGACGTAAAGAACATACTACACTTCTTCATCAAACCAAATCACCCAACAGCTCCACTATCACATCACTACCAAGTTAATATTTTTTTTATAAATAAAATAAATAAATAAATAAAATAAATAAATAATGAAGATAGGAGGACTAAAGCTTTTATCAACTAAGTTGGTTTATATACATCTAATTCGTGAGATTTTTATAAAAATATAATATAAAAAATAAAAATGCTTAAAACATCTTTTTTAATATTTATATTTAAAATATAAAATATTACTTCTTTGGCGGCGCTATCCGACCGTCCCTAATCCCCGTCTCCACCCTTCTTCGGTTCGATCGGAACTCCTCTGATCTCGGCGGAAGAATCGATGCGGCGAACGACGGCTTCCGCGGCCACCGCTCACTCGAGCCGTTCGTCAGCAAGACGTACGAGATGGTCGACGACGACCCATCGACTAACCCCACCCGTCTCATGGGGCCTGGCGAGCAACGGCGACGACACAACAATTTCTCCCTGCGTAAGCCTCTTTTAGCTCCGCCTCCTTTTGCTTTGATTTCTTTTCCCCCTTCTCGGTTACCAGAGTAATCGTCGACTCGACTCCGGGCCTTGCTCCTTAAAGTTTGCTTTTGGATGATGGATTTCTTGCATCCATCTGCCTTCTTGGCGATGTCTTGGGGAAAATGAAGTAGTTTGAATTCAACAGCCTAAGAGTTGCTAATCTAGTCGAAACTTCTACATAGGTGTAAAGGAACCATTTTCTGGTAGGAATCGCTCACCGCATTGATCTTTCAAGTCGAAAAATCAATAGTCTTTGGTGACCTCGGATTTGGAAAGCCGTGCAAGGTTCCAAGTTTGGGGTGAGCCTCATAGGTTAGCAAGGAGGAACTCGCATCCTTTCCTTCTCCTACGGCATATCCTTAATTTGTCACCTAAGCTTCGACCGCGTGCAAATGGGCTAATTTGTGGAAACACATTATGTTTCAGCGTGACGACCTAGTTTTCACACACATGTTACTGCTTACAGTTTCTGCTATCAGCTTGAGTCCACTTATTTGGCACCATTGTGCCACATTACATTCAACAGTTGTAGATTCATGTCGCGTAGATTTCTTTGAAGATCAGATCTTTTTTTTTTTTTGAGAATATCTAATTCAATGAAAGTTCATTTACGTAATATCGCTGGTAGTTGGCATGGTACGTTGCATTGACATGGCATGATTCAATAAGAATAAGAGAATATGATAACGATTGTATAGATTCGCTTTGATAACCTCCCTTGCATCCTTGATAGCTCTATGGTACTGCCGCATCGAGCTAATGGAGATGTTACGAAACCCTTTGGCCATAAACCTTGGTTTAGGTTTTGAAAGATATTATTTGATCGATGACTCTGCTTTGATATCTTGATAGTTGTTTTGTGGTTCACTCAGTGTTCTGAAAAGGCGCTCAAGCGTTTTGAAAAAGAGCGCTCGAAGATGGTCCAGGTGAGGTGATTTGAATGGACGTGAATCGAGCCCGGCTTGAGCCTAGGTGTGTGCCTAAGCCAATTGAAGTTGGGGTTCAGCTCACCTGGTTCAATCGATTTGAAAAAGAGCGCTCGAAGATGGTTCAGGTGAGGTGATTTGAATGGACGCGAATCGAGCCCGTGCTTGAGCCTAGGCGTGCGCCTAAGCCAATTGAAGTTGGGGTTCAGCTCACCTAGTTCAATCGATTTGAAAAAGAGCGCTCAAAGATGGTTCGGGTGAGGTGATTTGAATGGACGCAAATCGAGCCCGTGCTTGGTTTGGGTTCAGCTCACCTGGTTCAATCGATTTAAGTTGGTTTAACCGAACCAACTGAAGTCTCCTACTTCCCCTGTGCTCGATCCCTTTTTGCGAGCAAAAGAGAAACCCTACACCGTCGTTCATTCCTCTACCGTAAATGTTAATCGTTGTTAATAATAGTTAGGTTTTTAGCAATATAGCCTATGAAATGTTTTAAAAAAATTGGTCTTGTCACTGCTAACATTTTGGTGCTTTAAAATGTAATTTGGTGTTTTGTTGGAGACATTTGAAATATGAAATTATATGAGGCTAATGTATTATCTCATTTTTATTTTCTTGATCATATTTTTTTTGTAATTATATTTTTTTTTATAATTTTAATATTGGGGAGTGTCTCGCTTCGCTCGAGTATCCGTCTGTCCGACGTTTTGACACCTTGGTGCCTTTTAGCACCTAGCACCTTCCGCTACATTGGGTTTGGCAATTAAAAGAAGGTCTATGTATTCCATGTCTTGGGTTTGGCTGTTCAGAAGATATTGAGAATATTGATTGAAACTTCAATTGTTGGATGGAAGCAATATTAGAATGTTGGTGTTCTGTGGAGTTTATATCTATAATACTCACAATATTAGAATGTTTTATGTAAAATTTTGAAAGTTCTAATGATGTAACATTATTTGGTGTTTATTATCTTGCTGCTCATGTATTTTTCATCGTATGCATTAATATTGAAAGAGCTGTAGAAAAATATGAACATGATAATGCTTTAAACATGATTATTATGACAATGAAAACTAAATGGATAAACTATGTTTTTGGAGATTTTACTGATTTATCTTGTTGCTTTTGTTGTTTTTTTTTTATCTTTGTTATAAAATAGATAGCTCGAATGATTATTTAACTATTTATGATGAAAGTTTAGGATTAGATGTTGATATTAGAGAAAAAAAAAAAAGAGAAAGGAATTGATCATTAACTTGTAGTACAAATTATAGTAGACAACAAACTACCTCTCAATTTTCTCATCTAGGGATCAAGTTAGCATGAGTAATAGAATTAGTAAGAGAGAGAGAAAATTTTATTATAAAGATTAAAAAAGAACGAATTTTGTATAATAATTACTTGTCTTGGGTTTAGTTTGGTGATAGCACTGCAAGTATAGAATTTTTAATTTTTAATTTTTAATTTTTAAATAATGGGCATAATATGTAATAATATTTGTCAATTGTAGGGAAGTTGGAAAGCAAATACTATCAACCGTAGTGGTTGTGAAGTAAGATTTGAAGAGTTTGTGAGAAGAAAACTCTCTCACAATCATTTTATGTTCGTTCTTCTCTCATTTTCTAAGTAAGTCGGAGATGTTCCAATTCCAGTTCTTCCAGTTCTTTGGGATTGGAACAAACAACACAAACGTCGATTCCACTGCGATACCATACTGCTCTGCTCTGTTTGCCTGGATCCAACTGTTGCCGACAAGCTTGCTTGGTGTCCTTACTGCTGCTCTCTTCCATTTGCAACCAAACACAGTGCTGCGTCGCCCATAACCCAATCAATCATCTTTCAGTGAAGATGCAACTTTTGAAAGCTTTCTCTGAGTAGATGTGACGGTCATTTGGTGAGGTAGCTGAGTTGAGTTGTTGATGAGATCCACTTTAAAAAGACGAAAAAAGGTATCGTAGAGTGCAGAGTTCCAGCTGAACTACTACTACTAATGGCTAAAACTAGAGTGAGAGTGAGAGTGAGAGTTTGAGATGAGATGAATGAATCATAGAGTGCAGAGTTACAGCTGAACTACTACTAATGGCTAAAACTAGAGTGACATTTTTGTAGCTGATTCATGGAAACACGATCGATCCATATGTTTTGTTGTACACCCACCACCTTAGGAAACTCGAGAGCAGACGCTGCACCAAATTGTAGACGACGACGACGACGACTAGTTACGGATAGTCAGGATGTGGAGAAAAAGGCTATGCGACTCGGGCAAACAGCGCGGCGGTGAGCTGCTCCTGGTTGTAGATCCGGCTCCCCATCTTCACCGTTGCCTGCTGTATCATCAGCTCCTTCACCACCGTCACGTTCGCGTAGTACACCTCCAGCTCCAGCTCCCTCAGCGCCACCATCAGCCTCGCCGCCGGGTGTGCCCTCCTCTCGCATTGCACCCTTATCATCGCCTCCCGACCCAGCAGCTTCACCTCCACCTCCACCTCCCCCTCCCCCTCCCCGCTCGTGCCGGTCTCTGATGTCGTCCACTCGTTCGCCGTCGCCTTCGACTTCGCCTCCTTGAGGGCGCTGAGCTCGGAACGAAGCCTTCGTTTTTCCGACTCCATGGTTCCCACCTTGGTGTGCAGCTCGTTGATGTAGGCGATGGCGTCGGCGAGGAGGGAGGCCTTGTCCATCTTCGACACGTTGGGCACGACGGAGCGGAGCGCGTAGAACCGTTGGTTCAGCTTCTCCCGGCGCTGTCGCTCCGCCTCCACGTGGTCGATCGGCACCTCGCGGCCGTTGGCCGGCTTCCGGCCACGTTTCTTGGGCCTCTTCTCCCGCTCCAACGTGGCGCTGCTCGTCGCCTCCCGGGCCGAGCCCTCCAAGTCCGAGTGATCCGAATCGAGCCCCCCGCCCTCGGGCTTCGGTGCTGTGGCCGCCACAGCCGTGGACGAGGGCAGGAAGCCCCCGTCATCGCTCCCCCTCGACGTGGACTTGTTCGTCTCCACATAGAGGGCGTCGCCGGCATCGCCCTCACCGGTCAAATTGAGGCTGTAATGCACACGAATCGAGCTCGGGTCTTCGGTGAGGCAACTGGAGCTGCGTTTGTCGGGATGGGAAGGGGGCGTCGGCGCGGAAGGTTCCGATATCCAAAGCATGCAGGGATCGACCAACCCCTGCTCCGGTGGCGGAGGCAAGGATCCGGTGGCGTGGCCGCCGCCGCCGCGGCCGCGGCCGAAGAGCAGCCTGACCTTGCTTAAGATCTCCGAGTTGTGGAAGATGTCCTGCGTGGAGCCGAGCTCGACGACGCCGCTCCCCATGGGGACGCAGGCCATCGTCCGCAGGCCGAACGCCCACGCCTGTTGCGCCCGCTCGCACGGCGCCGCCGCCAGCCGGTCCTCCCCGGCGACCCACACCGTCTCGCCGGAGAGGAGGACCTGGCCCGGGAGTCCGGCGCCGGGGGCGAAGGTCTGGGTCATCGACACGAGGAAGAACCACTCGGTATCGCTGACTTCCTCGTCGGCCGCGTCCTCGCCGCCGGCGCCGGAGATGAGGGCGTTGAGCTCTCGGAGCACGCGCTTGCGGTGCTCCTGCTCCGCCGTCGACGACGCGCCGACGCCGGCCGGCTTCCGCTTGTCCTCCTCGCAGCTCCTGTAGTAGCCGTCGCCCCAGCTGAGGGCAGCGGCTCCACCGGCAGGGGAGGACTGCCAGAAGATAGCGTAGGTCCAATTCTCGGGGCCGCCCTCGATGAGGGCATTAAGACGCTGCTGGAGCGTCTCAGGGTTGAGGGACGGCGGGGCAAAGGAAGTGACAGTGGACCGGGAGGAGGAGGAGGAGGAGGAGAAGGAAGAGGAAGCGGAGTGGGCTAGCGGCGGCGGCGGCCAGCGGGGGACGGGGAAGGGGGAGAGGAAGGACTCCATGACGGACGCACTGTCGTCGATCCAAAGGTTAATGAGACCACGGCGGTGATCCGACCTCTGTACCAACAGGGCGTGTCAGAGTGCGGTCACCGCTGGTGCAGCTTGCACTCGAAGGAGTCAGGGAGAGCTTTGTTCATCGCCTCGAGTTACTTTTGGTATATAGAAAGCTAAACGGGTTCATTTTCTCTGCCCGGACTACCTTCGGATCCGGGTCGGATCAACGTCCGGATCGAGATATATATATATATATATATATATATATATAT